GTCTATTCAAGAAGATGTGTTTAAGTATATTTTAACATGCAGATAATAACACAAACTATGTAATAATAAAGAAACACGGATAATTGGACAATGCTTGCATATTTCATTTATAACTTTTGAAAACATACACAACCATACTTATATAAGTCAAATAATTACTATTTGATAAAATAATAATAATATAATAAATCAAAAACAGAGAATGTTCTATTGTTTTGTTTCATCATATCATAGGAACAATGTTTAAAATTTAATTGACATATGGCACTTATAGGGGAGAAATTATCTCTATATGGGAATTCTAAAACTTAAAAGCTTTGTTTGTTTGGAGGTTTGGATTTTAAGTTGGGATTTGAATAATAAAAATTTTGAATTTGAATAGTTGTATGATGTGATATAAATAGGTGTTGATGTGATATTTTGAATGTAAAATTTATTTTTTAGTATAATATAAAAAATAAAAAATAAGTATTTGATTTGATGTTTTTGGGGAAAAAATAGGATGAATAGTGAAAATCTAATCTAATCCCCCAAACAAACGCACAGACACTTTTGAATAGTAAATTCTGAAAACCTTTCGCCAAATAAAAATATTCATTTTGAAAACCTTACGCCAAATAAAAATATTCAAAAAGTTAGCGTTCTTTAATATTTTAGAATTTATAAATTTTTTATTATTAGTTATCAAGAATTGTGAAAATATTTTGAAGAATTATGATGATTTTTGAATGAGGTTTTATTATTTCTTTAAATACTTAATTAGAAAAAAAATTAATACTCTAAAGTCTCATTTATTTTTTTGCACAAATATTATTATAATAATAAAAATATTTTTGTCATTTTTCCTTGTACTACGTGTTCATATAATAATTAATATTCAAATATCAACACGCAAAAAATAAATAAAATCTTTAAAGTAGGACGAAGATAACATATTATTGTTTAAAGATATGAATACTTTTTTTTTGTTGAAAATAATGAAAAAAACTAAAAACAACATACTTAACTAAGCACACTAGAATTCTAAAGGAAAAAAGAAAAAATATATAGTGACAATATAAATTTGTTTATCAATATATTTTGAGTTTATTTGAAATACAATATTTTGGTTCTTCACGGTGATTTTCAAATATAAATGTTTACTAGTATTTTGATTTTTAACATAGATAAAATTATTCATGTACTCCCTTTGGTTGGTAAATTATGTAAGTTTGATTAGACACGACCACTAAAAAATAATAATATTTTAATATCAATATGCAAAAATTAAAAGGTAAAATAGGATATTATAAAAAAAATTTATCAGATAATTAACAAAAAAGTGGTGGAACAAGTAGGAAAATAGTAATAAATTAGTTATTATTGTTACAACAAGAGTAATAAAATTGTGAATAAATAAAATTGTCAGTATAAATATGAATTATACATATGTATGACCAAAAAAAGAATAGTTATATACTTTTTACTAGCTGAAAGAGTAATATTTTGAGTAAAAATTAATAATTAAAATAACAAAATTGATTGTGGAAAAACAACGTTACAACCATAAATAAGTAGACTAAAAAAATATTGAACTAAGTGGAAAAATAAAAGCCATATTGAATTTAGAATAATATTAATTGAACATAATTTTGTTCGGGGGATTGGATTGGATTTACACTATTCATCCTACATTCAAAACATCAAATCAACGCCTATTTATATCACATCATACAACTATTCAAATTCAAAATTTTTACTATTCAAATCTCAACTCAAAATCCAAACCTCCAAACAAACACACCCTTATCTTTCAAAAAAAAAAAAAAAAAAAAAAAATTCAACAAAACCGGAATCTAGAATACCAAAGCACTCGAAACCATACACTACTGAGTTCCACTTTGAGTTTGAGATTTCGATTTTGCAAAATTTTTTTTAAAATTTATATTATATTTTTCTAATTCTAAGAGTTTCATTTATTTTTTTCATGTTAGATTTTTGAATATTAATTATTATATCAAAACGTAGTACAAATTAAAAAAAAATTGCAAAAAATACTTTAATTAGTGTCTTATAATACTAATAGAAGAACATTTGTTCGAAAAATTATACAAATAAAAGAATATTTTTAATGTTAAATACAATGAGGCAAAAGATAAATCTGTATTATTTAATCTTATTAAATGTTACGAATTTGTTTGTTTTGTGTTTTGGTCTAAAGTTCAACAGAAAGGACACTCGGTTGTAATTTATAGTAATATCAATATTAATTTATTTATTTTTGGAAATTCGAAGTAAGCAAGGTTAAGGAATTCTTAGAGTAGAGTAGAGCAGCAGCTAGTTTGTTTTGTTGGTCTAAATAACAAGTATATTTATTATGACCATAACCAGAGCTTTTGCCTCTTTTTGGTGCAACAAACAGAGGCCCTCATTGAATAGACAGAGAGAGAGAGAGAGAGAGCATTTATGGGGTTGGGTTAGTGAAGAGAGTAGTAGTACATTCTTCATGGCTCACTTGTTTGAGTTTTAAATAATCTTACTCCTTTATTTATTGCCATCACATCCCACGCCACGCTCTTCTTCTTCTACTTCTTCTTCATGCTTCAATTCACTATCAATGCTTCAGCAGCAGCACCACCACCACACACCACCCCTACCATGATTACCAACAACACAACTTCCGCCATTGCCATTGCCATTGCCATCCTCTTCATGGCAACCGCCACTACGGTTAATTGTTTCAGCCCAAGGGCTCCTCCAACCAACTTTCCTAACCATCAAATCCACCCCCCAAATCTCCTCCACCAGCCCCGGAGCGACGACATTGATCCCCGGTATGGGGTTTCTAAACGGCTGGTTCCTAGCGGCCCCAACCCTCTACACAATTGACGACAACCACTACTACTACGACTATTCATACTACTATTGCCGATTCTAATTCTACTTAGTGTTCTTCACCTTCACCTTCACCATCCACTTCCTTGGAGGAGCTTTTGTGTTTGTGGTGATGGGTGAGGTACATATAGATTATAGATGGATATACATAGATAAAGCAAGATGATCATCTAGTTTTGCTTACTTCTTGTTATGGTTATTGTATTGTTATTATTATTGTTCTTGTTGTTGTTGTTATTATATGAATGTTTTGCAAAAAGCAAAGATTTGCTAAGAGTTAGTTAGATTTTTCTCACCTAGTGTTAATGGGTGGGGTGTGTGTAGTGTAGTGTAAGAGCAATTAATATTTGCTTCAGCAGCATGCATTGGACAAGTAACAGAATTTACTCATACCTGCATGCCTGCCTGCTTCAGCTTTAAGACAGTAGGAGGTTTTGCAGGTGTTGTAATAGTAGTGTCTCAGTGACCTCCTCCTGACCTTGTCATAATGAACTCATCACAATTGACAATCCATTGCAAAAGCATTCTGTCGAAACAACACATTGGGGTGCCATAACATTTATAATTAAGAAAAAAAAAAAAGGGGTCATTTTCATAATCAGATCAAACTACTACCCCCATGCCATCCAATGCCATGTTGATATAGCAAATAATCTGAATCAGATCTCACCTGATTGGTACAAGAATTGAAGCCAGGGTACATTGCCATGCCTCACCACTTGAATTATCAACCTGCAAAGTCATGCAACGTTTTACCAACCTGTACTTGTATTTAACTTTGTTGAATCTAGGCCAACATTGACATTGCAATACTCCAACTCAATAGGCCAGGCCGGATTGGACTGCTCTTGCCTGTGTTGATTCAGTTAGCATGTTTCAAAGAAGCAGTAATTATTTTGAACACGCGCAAATTAAACTAACCTTGAATGACATATCTTATACACTATGAGCAGTAGTAAAAATTTCAAACTAAGAGGAGACTGAACCAAGACAACTTCAAGAAAAGAAAGTTAAAAAATTCATATGCAGTGGCATTAACTTTAGCAAAACAAGTAAACTTCAGTAGTCATCAAGGAGAAGGACATTGTCAAAGAGAGTTTTACAGTTAGTTTCAGAAACAAGGCACTGGTAGCGTGCAAATTGCCACACCCATGGTCGCTAACAACTCAATTCTATCTGGCCTAAACATCTCTTCTTTTACCATAATCTAACCATGTAAGTAATCATACTTTTTAGTCGTTTCAGCACCCCTTAAGGCAACTGGCCATTAAACTATTAGGAATGCTTGTTCTTTCCTAGTGGAGAACGACAATCAATCCATGAAAGTATCTTGCTCCGCCGCAACTCACACAACTAATCAATAAGTTGTCTAGAAAAAAAAAAAAGTAATCAAACCATGATTTGCATTCATTCACTCAACCTTGGACGGCCAATATACTCTTAAGCACTTCCGTTCAGCATCCTCTGCTTGCTTCCCAATATACAGAATCTATCTACTCCTAAAGCTTAACTATCTATGAACAAAATACTCGAGCTAGCAGGAAGTATACCAATACATAACACCTCAATGCTAAAGCCTATCCCCAAAATATTCCCACGCATCTCCATCATCAAACTAAAGCTTCAAATCTGAACGATAAGCATCAATCTTTCAATTGCAATGTTATTCTTAACATACCATAGCTAGAATGTAAAGGACACCTAATCTACAACATATTCGGCAGATCTTTCATGAAAAAGAAGTCTGGAACTAATAAGGCATACCATACCATGAACAAAAAATTCTAACAATTCGGCCAGTCTAGTTTCATCAATAACTAAACTCCGTGTACACTGAAAACTCTGTCCTTGGAGCAGAACCACTGCCTTTATCCGAATACAGATGCAATTTAATGAATCCCAAAGCAAATTGTACTTATATAGAAACAAGAAAAAACATGGCACAAACCAAAGGGTAAATAGACTTCTGTGTACTTTGGATAGTTTTTGCTACGGTCATAGAATTTCATGGGACTTTAAATTCATATGCTCACTAGAACCGACAACATAGATCAATAGGCACATTTGTGGGCAGCAATAAGCAAGCTTCATCAGTATTGAATTGACCAGAAAAATTACTCCCAATGGAAGTCCAAACAAGAAGAATGTTATACTGAATACAACTGTTCTCCCAATAATTCCAAGGATTAATAATCATTACCAGTCTCGCAGATTAATCAGATCGACAAAAACGATAAGTTCAACAGCCAAGGAAGGAATTCAGAACATAAAAAGAAACACTACGAAATCACCTAAATATATGTTCTCCTAGTCATCCTAATCATACAGTAAGCAAGCAATCTGCGTAGACGATCACGCGCTCTTGATCTCCATGACGCTTTTGACGCTGGGCGCGTAAAGCGAGTAGACGATAGCTTGCCGTTTCGCGACGCCGAGCTGCGACTTTCCATCGGCGAAGGCGGCGGCAACCTCCGTCGGTTCGGAGAGGCTGCGATTGTGGCGGAAGGCGTGGACGGTGCGACGCTTGACGTACTCCCTTATATTGTAGTCTGTGAATTCACGAGCCGCCCGCAGAAGCGAGCGGAAGAGTGAAAGCACTTCGGAACGCGTTGGCGACGCCATTTTCTGCCGCACTAGTTGAGTTTTCCTTTGCCCTCTTTCGTGGATAGGATGTATATCCTTAAACATATATATATATATATATAATCCTGTTTTTACTAAATTGTCCTAATAATGTAATATTTGAAATTTACAGTTGTACTTACTAATAATATTGTTAGCAACTATGGCTACTTTCGTCAATTAACACCCGTGTTATTAGTTATACTTGATCTATTGGGTGATGTTCATGGTTGTGTTATTCCATTTTTATTTGGTATTTTGTTGTGATTTAATTGTACAAAATATATTGATATGGATATTATTGTAATACTTTTTTAATACAATAACTTAGTTAATAATATTGTTGTGAATTTATTCCCGAATTCTTTTGAATTTATTGAACAAATTTTGTATACAAAATACGAATAAAACCCAAATTAAACTAAACCGAAGTCGAAACTAAAATTAAATAATTAATATTAAGGCTAAATGCATATTGGAATAAGGAAAAACAAAACCCAAACAAACATTCTTGGAACTGCATTATATTAAAAGAAAGTGAATTGAAATGAAACCTCCCTATTTCAATTCTTGTAAATCAGATTGCGTTTGTTTGCTTCAAATCAAATTTTGATTCTAGTCGACGAATTCCCCGGCGGACTAACGGACAACGAAGGCGGCCGTTTGAACTCCAATAATCTTATGTGGAAATGCGCGACCCTCTCCAGAACAGACCCGCGGCGTCTGCACCATCTCCGGCAGTGCCGAACAGCAGCTCCGGCCAGCTGCCCTCCGGTGACCCGAACAGCATTGACCCGCTCTGATTAGAACCGATCTTCTTTGAACTTTCACCAGCGGCGAAGGGACGGAGAACTAAGGCTCAGTCCATGGTGCGAGAATGGCCCGAGGTAACCACAACTAAAAGTGGAGGTCGGCGCGTCACTCTAAACCTCGACGCCACCGGAATCGGCCATCGGAAAGGGTTCGACACTCACCGGAATCACTCGTCGGAACCTATCGACTTCTCTCCCTCTCCCTCATGATCTCACCCTCTCTATCTCTAACTCTCGATCTCACATACTTAATTCACCCCTAAACCCACTTTTTTATATCTATCAAAAACTAACTCACCAACAAAATTAACAACCTAACTAAGTTTGTTTAGGGTAAGGTGGGTTTGGGTAAATAGATTTGGTTTAACGAGTTTGGACCGATCTGGTGGGTTGGGCTATGGAATGGGCCAACTAATTATTTATCGGAGGACTTGTTGGGTTAGGCCTCTAACGGCCAAAATTTCCAATAAATATTCTAATCCTAAGAAATGCATTTGAAACTAATGCAGAAATTTTCGAATTTGTTGGACATGCAAAAAAAAAATATTTGAGTCCGACTGGACAGTTGAACTTGCAAAAAAAAAAAAAAACATCCAAATTTGGACTTGAATACAGTCTCATAGTAGTAACTGACCAATTCTGTCAACCACGTCGTTTATTTAAATTTATATATGTATATACATATAATATAATTTTTAATAGTAACCGACCAATTCTGTAAAACCACTTTCATTTCTGTTTCAAAATATATATATTTATGTTCTTTATTTATTTGAATTTATATTTTCATATTCCTATAATGAAATTTTAAAAATTTAAAATATATCAAATTCGGATAAATTTAATTTGAAATATATAGAGAAAAAATAAGCTAAAAATATATAATATCAAAAAATATTTTAAAAGAGAATAAATTTTTAATAATATAAAAAAAATTAACTAAAAAAAAATATAATATAAAAAATATTTTGAAAAATTAAAAATAAACTCTTTTAAAGAGTTGAGTGCACAATTATAAAAAAATATATATATATATTTATATAATTTATTATAATTTTTTTTTTCTCCATTTTCACCTGAAACTGGACGGTTCACCTTATTTTCATCCTCCGACCAACCCATTCCATTGCAGAGAAATGTTAATGCTACATAATGTAGGCTTATGTTCTTCTGGCGGAATAATTTTTGTATGATGAGAAGTAGATGTATATGTTGAGTATCTTGCTATCTACACTTACGATGAACCATTGACTATTGATTATTTTGCTGAATTCAAGGGAGCCTTTTAATTGCAACTTGGGTGTCCACAAAATATCATTGGCGTTGCTGGTGATCCACAACCGGATTGGAGTTTCCATAACTTATTACATGAACTTGACTCGAATTAATTAAAGAAAAAAGGCAAAATGTAAATATAGAATATCCTTGACGTTTTGCCAGAACACAGCCTAGGTATTTATGCAACATATCTTTTGTCTTAATATTGCATGCATGCAGACGTATTTGTCTTAACTCCCAACACTTCCCCCTTCCTTGGTCGACATAAAAAATAATTAAGAATTGTTGTTTGTGTGTAAGATGCAGAAGTAGTTCATTTCTATTGATTAATATTTGAACTTTCATAATTTTTACTAACTAAAATTGTTGTTTGACTACCCCTTTCATTTTTATTTGAGGAAGTAGTTGCATTTGATTCCATAAACAAAAATTTGCAAATTTGATATTTTTCTTTCCTAAATAACTGAGCAGATTTTGTTGCCACTAAGCTTTACGAGAATTTAGGTAAAGTATAATTAGTAAGTAATTAAGAAGTGTATCAGTAAAAATAATTATTATTTAGTAAAAATAATTATAGATTAAGATTAAAATAAGTAAATAGTTTAATTAAAATTAAGAAAATTATAAAATTTAAAATTTAAAATGCGATTAAAGTGCATAATTATATTTCCAAAAATAGAAATGATAAGTTATGTGAGAGAAACGAAAATAGAAAATAGAGACAAATTATGTGGAACGGGGGAGTAGTATTTGGTTATGCTTTACGAATCATAATTATGCATTCAATTTTGTTCATGTACTCATTATTCTATTATATTTGACCTCTTTTCATTGTACATGTGTTTGCATTAAACAATAGATCTATTGACAGCTTTGTTGGCTGGTTGGGGCAACGTAGTTTCCTAGATAACCCTCAAAGACACTCCAACAATCATTTCATGTTATATTATATGTCATTCTTTGTCCTAATTATGCCTTGGTCTTTAGAAATACCCCGACAACTTTGACAGAGCAGCCAAACTTTCTGCATCAAGCTTGCAGCTATACTTGTTGCTATTCATTGGTGTTACAACTTTCAGATTTGATGCCTCTTTAGCTCCTCATCTAGCAAAGGAAGTGCTATTGTTGGACATTGGGGATGGACAGGTGTTTCTCAAGGCAGTCTGTGCCTTAATCATGTTTTTCCGCTACAATAGGTAGATTTCCACTGTCATAAATCAACGTTACGAAACTAAAGGTGTGTTTGTTTGGGGGTTTGGATTTTGGATTTGAATTTTTTAAGATTTGTATGTATGGATTTTTAAGTTGTGTTTGTTTGAAGGTTTGAATTTTGTAATGATTAAGTTGGAAAAATTATTATTATATTAAAAAAAAGTGATGTATTGATGTGATAGTTTGAAATGAATGATATTTAAATATTGTTAAAATAAATAAAAGTGAAAAAGTAAAGTGATGTTGGAATTGATATTTTTAAAATATATATATATATATTTAAATTTTTTTGGAGATATTATTATTATTTTTATTATTTTTATTTTACGAGATGTCGTAATAAGAATGGTGATTATTTATTGCATCACCTACCGTCCAGTCCGTTAATCAAATCAGAGGAGAGGTGGAGTAGACAGGTGATTCTAGCGACAACTTCTGCTTACAGGGAAGACGAAAGGAAACCTACGGTCTAGGAACGTGCCTAGGTTATAGGGGTAGGATTTTTAATTTAAATTTTGTACAGTATTTCAACAGTAAAGTCTGGTAAAAATTTGTCAAACGAACACAGCCTAAGTCTCTTTAAATACACAAACATAGATTCTAGGAGCAATTTGGTGTATACTTGTAATATTGAAAGCAATGATAGTGATATATTCTTGCTTATAATTCCTGAACATCTAAAATGTGTCGAATTTAATATTTTGAATGAAACACCTAAAATGTATCGAGTTTTAGGTGATTTGAAATTGAAAATACAACCAAATTGAGTTATGATGAACTTCTTATGTAAGCTCATATGAGTGCATTGGATTTTACTTGTCATTAGTTTATGTAACCCATTTTTATTCAGGACTTTGTGGTGCATTTGGTTGTGTTTGTGTTTTGGATATTTGTTTAAAAATGTATATAGTTGTTGTATGTGATATTTTGAAAGAAAAATATGGATCGAATTTAATATATAGAATGAAAATTAGTAGATGGATGTAATTGTTTTCTACCGGATAAAAATTTAAAATATATTAATATATATCATTTTGTAGAAAATAATTTTTTAATAATAAAAAAAACTAAGTAAAGAAAAGTATAATATAAAAATATATTTTGAAACAAAGTTATTTTTTTTTAAAGTGGTTGGTTCCATAGTTATAAATATATAAATATATATTTCATTATATATTTTTCTCTAGACAATTTTCCTCCTTTCTTATCCAACCAATTTAACTACTTCTTTTCTCATATTTTCATCCCAACCGATTGTATGGTTCTATTCATTTAATCCAACCAGTTCAGCCACTTTATCTTCTCTTTTCATCCCAACCGACTGGACGGTTTTCCTCATTTCATTCGACCAATTTGGTTACATATTTCTTTCTTTCTTCTTTTTTTTTTTTTTTTTCATTTTATGTCTTCTCTATTCTCTCATTTAAGGATTTATCTATTTAAATCTATATATTCATATTCATATTATGTAATTTTTTAAAATTTATTTAAAAATTTAAAATATATCAATATATATCATTTTGTATAGAATAATATTTTTAATAATACAAAAAAAACTCATCAACAATTAATACAGCCGTCGTTCAATTAATAATCATTGTACACGGATTTTTTGCACTAATTAATACAAAATTGACATTTATTAAAATTTACACAATGAATATTTAATAAAATAAAATATATTATTTATTTAAAAATATTTATTATGCCAACCTTAAATATTTAAATTATATTTTCTTATAATATTTCATTTAGCTAAATTAAATATTTAAATAACACATAAATAATGCCTAAAAATATAATTTAAAAAACACATCAATTAATTTAATTTATACACTAAAATAATTATAAAATATACTTAAAAATTAATAAATTAATATTTTACACACAAAATACAATAAATACAATTCTTGAATTAAATTAATATAAATTATACCAATGATATAAATAATGAAGTAATTAATTATTTAATAAGCTATAAAATATGTAGTTATCACTAACTGACTTCGCGCTAGACGGCAGCTGTATTCAATTCTTCCCACGTGAAGCCAATCAATTCTTCCCACGTGAAGCCAACCGACTTCTCCCAGTGTTAGCTTTCTAAAATATATTTATATAATTTATTCCTTTCTTTCTCTCATCGTTCCATCCTATCAATTCGGTCGGCCACTTTTTCATTATTTTATTTTTTTTTTCTCATCTTTTCATCCGATCAATTCGGTCATCCACTTCATTTTTTTCTTTTTTTTTTCTCTCTCTTCCATTCTCTCTCATTCGGTCTACGCTTATTCTTTTTCTCATTTTCTCCCTAAAATATATTTATATAATTCATTCTCTTTATTTCTTTCATCATCCCATCAATTGGATTTGTCACTTCTTTTTTATGACCATGACAACCTTCTTGGAGGGAATATAAAAAAGTATTTTGAAAAAAGAAAATTAAATTTTTTAAAATTGGTTGGTTGCATATTTCTCTCTTCTTTTCATCCGACCAATTCGGTTTGTCACTTCCTTTTTTTTTCAAAATATCTATATTCATATTATTTATTTATTTAAATTTATATATCTGAATATAATATAATTTTTAAAATTTAATTAAAAATTTGAAACATATTAATATATATATATCATTTTGTAAAGAATAATTTAACTCATACAACACATTAATATCAAGAAAAAATAAACTACAAAAAACATTCAATTCTAACAAAAAAGTATATATATATATATATATATATATGTTTACACTTTTGTAAACACGATTTTTAATTAACTTACCTATATATTGTCATTAAATCATCAAATTCACTCCAAACTTTTTATTTTATTTATTTATTTTAACTTCTTATTTTATTCAGTTGGTAAATAAATAAAATCGTAATGATCTAATTCTTCAGTCCTTTAAATTTATTTCCACTTTCTATTTTTAACTCTATTCTGTAAATTTACACGATCGTTGTTCATAATTGTAAATGTAAACAACCGATAACAAAGAAAATGAAAACTGGCTATATATATAGTCTTACAAATGTTTATCCAGAAGAGAAAAAAAATAAATAAGTAAAAAATTAAACGTGAAAGACTCCTGAACTAATAAATAAATTCCGACTTATTAAAACAGACAAGCAATTAACCATAACAGACAATGACCTTTTCATAAACTAGCTCCAAGTCTTCACTGCTTTTAATTTGTCATCAAGTCTGCAACCTGTTCCCGTGTTCCACAATGTACCAACTCAACTTCTCCATCACGAGCAACATCTCTTAAGATTACTGGATTTTTTAATTTGAAAGCTTAATTGTGGAACTGTTGCCACACATGATAATAGTGCTGTGCTACCCTTTTGAGAGTGACCTAACTTCTTCAAAACTTGACAGACACAGACAGCAGCAGCACCTACAAATTCTGCTGCTGCACTTAATAAGAACAAATAACCAGATGTACTCTTAGAATCAGTTTCATCTCCTCCATATATGGTCAGAGTCTGTGAAAGCAAGTAACTCTTCAGCCCCTCCCCTCTTGTAGAAAATCCCATAATACCTCATGATCCTTTTTGCAGCTTGCAAGTGTGTCTTGACATATATCTGCTAATCAAGCTTACACTAAACATGATGTCTGGTCTTGTAGCTGTGAGATATATTAAAGTTCCAACAATTTGTTTAAAAAACCTATCCTCAATAGCTGCTCTACCTTCATCTTAAAGCCTGGAACAATTGGACTTTTGACTGGTTTACTTTCATACATTGAAAATCTCTTCACAACATCAGTAGCATATTTTCTTTGGCACACAAAAAATTCCTTGTGATTTTTACACAACTTCAATTCCAAGGAAGAAACTCATTTTTCCCATATCAGTCATGTCAAAGGTTTGCATCGTGGACCTTTTAAACTCAACCATCATATCCTCATCATCACTAATACCTAGCAAAACACAAGGAAAACTCTTATCATCCAATTTCTTCCTTTTTGCTTTTGGTATATGGACATGTGCAATACTCCGATGGTTTGATTCCACTCCATGCTTCTTGAGGAGTGACGTTCTTAACTGCTAATGTTGGACACCTATTCAGTAGATAAAATGTCCAATTGAAAGCTTCTGCCCAAAAAGTTTTAGGAACCCTTTGGAGATGAGTAGGCAGCGGACCATATTCATGACAGCTCTGTTTTTCCTCTCGGCAACTCCATTTTGGTGAGGTGTGTAAGCATTTGTAAGTTGTCTTTTAATTCCTTGCTATTGACAAAAGGCTTTGAAGCTGTGAGAAGTAAACTCGGCTCCTCTATCTGTTCTCAAGCATTTTATAGATGCTTTTGTTTCATTTTCCACTTTCTTCTTAAAGATTTTGAACTTTTCCAGAGCCTCTGACTTCTCCACTAACAGATATACCCAAGCTTTACGACTCTAATCATCAATGAAGCATAATACATACCTCTTTCCACCATGTGATGTTGGTTCAATAGGCCCACAGATGTCTGCATGAACAAGCTCAAGTAACTTAGTTGCACACCACTCGCTCCTTTTGGGTATCACATTCCGATGTTGTTTTCCAAGAAAGCAATCAGGGCATGTAATACTTGAATTTCCAAATTGAGGCAGTCCATGAACCATTCCTTTAGATTGCAAAGTCTTCAAGCCTTTTAAATTCAGGTGTCCATATTGTTGATGCCATAAATGAGCGGAAGTAGAGTCTGGTATGCAAACATTCTTCTGTGGAACTTGGGATGACTTTGGATCGTTCATTAATCAAGGTAAACATACGATTAGTGCTCATATTAGTGTGAGCAATGAGTCCCCTGTGCGGATGATAGATGTTACAAGTTCCATTCTTAATCACAAGACCGGACCATAACTTTTTGATAAGTATTCTTTTGTAAAATCATCATTACACAATTGAGTCTTTAAAGGAAAAATCTTGAGTCAATTTCATTTCTTGAGTGGTCTTTACACCCTTTTGTTTATCTCGTTTAAGATTCTATTTGGATTCTAGTCATTTCTCCTGTAATTGTCCCACACTCAACAAATTTTTTCTAAGATCAGGAACATAATATACATCACTCACCATGAACTGAATGCCATTAAACACTAGTTTGACATTGCCTTTTCCAGCTACCTGCATTGTAGTGTTGTTTCCACATCTGAGAGAGTGTATAATGTCATCGACAAAGCTCGAGAATACACTTCTATCACTACACATATGATTGGAACACCCAGTGTCAAGAAACCATGCATCACTCGTTTTAGTTTCATGATCATCTGCATAGGCCATCAAAACCAATTCTTCTTCCACATCTACTCGTTTTAGTTGGCTTCCTTTTTCCAATTTGGACATTCATATTGAAAATGTCTCGTGTTGTGGCATTTGAAACATTCTACATAGGATTTATTGAAACTTGGATTGCCTCTACCACGTCCTCTACCTCGTCTACGAGATGAATTTCGACCACGACCTCTTCCATTAACTTTTTCTTTATGAGATACTTTTAACACCTGCTCTTCACCTTTCTGCCTTTGAAATTTCTGCTCATGAACAATTAAGGAGCTTTGCAGTTCATCAATTGACAAATTGTCAATATCTTTCGATTCATCAATGGAGCAGACAACATAGTTGAATTTTTCGCTCAATGATCGAAGTATCTTCTCCACCACGGCAATATCACTCATACCGTATACTCGCATTTTATTAGCGATAGTCATCACTCTTGAAGAGTAGTCATAGACCTGTTCGCCAGATTTCATTTCAAGATTTTCAAACTCTTTGCAAAGAGATTGAAGAATGGGTCGTATAACCCTATTGTTTCCTTCATACTTCTTCTTCATGGAATCCCATATCTGCTTGGATGTGTTCTTTTATAGAATGGTTTCTAGAATAGTTCTATCAATAGCTTGAAACAAGTAATTTTTTACCTTCAAATCTCTAAGTTTCATCTCATCAAGTTTTTTCCGGTGCTCTTTTGGCAGCGTCACTCCAGTATCCGGCTCATTGTAGCCCGTTTCTACAAGACTCCAGTATTCTTTAGATCTTAGGAAGTTCTACATTAGCATACTCCAATGATTGTAATGGCCATCAAACCGGGGAATGGCTGGTTGCACAAAGCTTCCTCTAGTAGCCATTTCTATCACAACTGGAAATCACAAAGTCTGTTGCTTGTTTTTTTAATCCGGTGAGTGGCTCTGATACCAGTTTGAAAAGTGCAAGAATAATAATTGATAACAAAAGACGCTGCTTTCTTATGAAAAGTGGCTATATATACCCTAACAAATGTTCATCAAGAACATAAGAAAATAAATAAGTAAAAAACATGAAAGACTCCAAACTGAAATAAAAAAATAAATTCCTCAAAACTAGGACTTATTAAAACAGACTAAAAACAAGAAATTAACCATAACAGACAATGACCTTTTCAATATTTCCATTGTTATTTCGAAATTCAATGTCAAATTGTCCTATACTTTAAAAATTATATGACGTTCATTTATACTTTAAAAAAAATTGGATGAAACTCTATCACCATGAAACTTACGTTTTGTGCGAAGAGAAAATGATTTTCTATATATATATATATATATATTTTTTTAGATTTCATGCAATATTTTTTAAAATATAAAGGGACGCTATTCAATTTTTGAAATAAAGTGGAAATTTACGCTATGTTTCAAAACTACAGAGGGTTTCGTGCAATACTTTTGGAAGTATGAGGGGTGTAATTTTTAAAGTAAATAGTGATTTAGCGATAACAATTTTATCTTTATTTTGACAAAGTCAACAAATCAAAACTTAGTTATTACCTTCAATCGAACACTTGTTTACAACAAATATCACTAATTTTATTACGTTGTCTCTTTATTTATTTTAATTTCTAACTAAATTTTGAAAATACTCTCAACTACTTTTTTACTTTTATCATTTTTTTCAATAAAATATTTCTTATTCTTAATCTTCATGCTATACACAAGTGGACTAATTTTAATAGATGGATAAAGTATTTATGCCCCATCTGGATTGGCTTCTAGAAAGTATTTTTGGCTTCTGCTTCGAAAAAAAATATTTATTCTTGTTTGTGTTGGCTTCTCCTCTAAAAAAAAAAGCATTTATTGGTGTTCGTATTGTCTTCTCCTCAGAATAAGCAGCTTTTAGGCTGCAAATGTGATTTTATGAGAAGCACCTTAAGGGGTACTTCTGGATTACAATTTTAACTATAACAATAATGATAATAATAATAATTAATAAAATAAATTAAAATAATTCATTTATATAAAATTTAAATATAATTTTATAGTAATTATTAAATTATATTTTTTATTTTAATTAAATTTAAAATATATAATTTAAAATATCAAATTTTAAAAAACTAAATTCTAATTATACAGTAGATATTTAATATTTTTAATTTTAATTTTTATGTAAAATAAAAAAATACAAATATAATTAATACATCAAATTTAATAAATATATTTTCAAATAGTTTAGATAATTTAAAATTTTTAAATATAATTTATAAAATTCTAAATAAATTAGAAAATTTTAATAAAAAATATATTATTTACATTACTATATCATTTTTTTAATAAAAAGCTACTTTTATAATTATTCATCAAAATATAAAATTTAACTGCTTTTACTTTTGCCTTCTACTTTTACTTTTTGTTTTTGGCTTCTGCTTTTGGCTTTTGGCTTATGCTTATTTTTTAAGTCAATCCAAACGGGCATAAATATCCCGTTTATTGTTACAAGCTTTAAATTGAAATAAACAATATTTACCTTACACAATTTTTAATAAATATATATTATTTTCTCCCACAAAATATTAAATCAAAATATTATTAAAAATATAAATTAATCTAACACCTCATTTCAAATCAATTTCAAAACTGTGAAGTCATACAAACCCTTTAATTCATTGTTTTCCTTCCACGATTTTGGGTAACCTTTATTCACATTGACTTAAATAATATTTTGATATTATATTATACTCCCTACATTCGTCAAATTTATTCTCATTTTCTTTTTTAGTCCGTCCACTAATTTATCCCATTACTAATTTTGGCAAAGTCAACAAATGAACATTTAATAATTACCCTCTATTCAACACTTATTTATAACAAATACCACTAACTTTATTACATTCTTTCTCCTTATTTACTTTACTTTTTCACTAAATTTTCAAAAATACCCTAAACTATCTATCATTTTTTCGATAAAATATTCATTTTTCTTAATTCTTGTGCCGAACCCAAATAGACTAATTTTAATGGATGGATTGAGTATATATATAAAATAATATGGAGGTAGATCCAGTGTTGATAATGCACTATCAACACCATGGTGATAGAATATGAACCGTCCATCATAATAAATAAATTTGGATGGTTTAGATTGAAGAGGAGTAGGATTGTTTTTCTAAATCTAAAAAAGTTAAAGGGTGGGTTGGTATGTACGTAAATCTCTTTGTTTCTTTACTCCCTATTTCTCTCATTCCTTTCCTTTTCTCTCTCGCGATCGACCAAATCGCATCGACAATCGCCACTGCCCAGCCGCGGCAGCGCCTCCCTAGCCCTAGTAGCCGTCTCTTTCTTCTTCTTCTCTATGTATCTCTTCCTCCCTCTTTTCTTTTTCTTTCGAACAGTTGATCACCAGTTGTCCAGATCGCTGCCGAAAGCCGCCATTCTTCCACCAACCCAGGACCCGCCGCAAACCACCACCATCGCCCAATTGACCCGCCGTGAACCACCACCGTCGCCCAATTGACCCGCCGCGAACCCAATTTTATTTCGGCATTTTCTAATATGGTATTTTAATGCTTCTTTTCTGTTTGGATATTAGTTTAAATCAATAGTATTTATGAAAACATGCTATAGTGTGTTTTTGTGATAATTTCTGGATAACACTCATAATATTTGATAATACAGTAACATGTTAAACACAATACAGGGAGATACTTGTTCGTATTAAATAAAATGTTGGGTACAAAATATCTAAATGCTTATTCATCATTTTTCTATTTGTGTTAATAGATTTTCGAAAGTATGTTTAGAATTTATTTTTTTGTTGCATTTTCTGGATAACATTTATAGTATTTGATAATACAGTAACATGTTAAATACAATAAACAAATATGCTTATTGGTATTCAGTTACATGCTTAGTTTAGTATATATAAATACTTATTATATGATGTTCATAATATTTTGCAATTAAATCATGTGCACAAAGACTGATATGTTGTTGGCATTGTTTCATTTAGTTCTGGAGCATTAGCCAAATCTTGATCCGTAAAAATAGTTTTTGGTGCACGACCACTCATGTACTTAAAAAAGATATTGAAAACCCACTTGAATGAATCTTGTGTTTCTTCATACAACAACATTGCCTCAAATATAGATGTTTGGCTGTAATTATTAAATCACACGAAAACACCTAATATTGCAGTATTGTTACAATCTAATGTATGAAAACAACTTACCAGATGTTGTGTACATTGTATCAAGATACTAATTTGTAGGAGATGCAATGCTGAATAATGGAAGATGAAATGTTGACTACCGAAGTATTGTATTTGGTGCAAATCGTTTTTGAATAATGGATAATTGATTTTGCTTGTCTCCATGAATTTCATCAATTAATTTTGTTGGAAGAGTCTTAGTCATTTTCTACGTGAGGAGGCGAAGGAAAATGTAGGTCTAAGTTAGTTAAACGTTAGGAAAATTTGAAAAGTAATATTAAACTCCTAAATTAATACAAGCCTTATGATTAAAATTGTGATCCAATGGTTAATATTGAATCAACATCATGCTGAACTTTATAGTTCAACACTAGTTTAAGATATAGGTGTCAAAATCAGTAAGGATCAAATGCTCATGCTAATTAATTCAGCAGAAGTGCTAATGTATAATTAATTATATTAGTATATGATATAATTAATAATTAATTATCTAATAACATAATTATCCTTTGAAATAGTTCATCAGCATATGTGCTGAATTCATAATTCAGCACATGATGCACTTTGGTGTGGAAATATTGTATAGTCATGTAATCTCATTTAATGACTAATTACCTCATGTAAGTTCTATAAATAGAACTCTGGTTATTCAAATGAATACACAAATTTTATTTCCAATAGTTACTCTCTCTAACTCTGATCTCTTTAAAACAAATACACATTTATATGTCCATATATATATAGATGTATTCTAATACATATTCTATACTTATACATGCCTATACATATATATTTATGTTATGTATTTATTATATATATTTTTTTAATCTATTTTATAACACATTATCAACACAAGACTTTGTTTAGAAAGTTCTAATATAATGATGACGTGTTTTACTATAGTTTTTACGTTAGTCAAAACAGGTTGCGAAAATTTTATTCAAAAATATATATATATATATTTCATTCCCGAAAAGTTCTACCCAAATACTACAGAAGTTTTTGTTTCAAAATTTCTGCTGAGTATATATATATATATAATTTTCAATTATGACTAATATAGCAAAACTTTGAATTCCTTCATTAGCAATTACCGAAAATAATTATATATCGTGGATAATGGATGTCGAGATGTACCTCGAATCCATAGGGTTTTCAAAAAGAATAATTAGTGGAAATGAATGCACAAGCCAAGAACGTACAAGGGCAATGACTTTTCTCTGTCATCATATTTTTTAAGCTCCAAAAATGAAATACCTCATGATGAAATATCCATTTGAATTATGGAAAAATTTAAAAGATTGGTTTGACCACATGAAGTCGGTCATATTGCCAAAAGTAAAATACGCATGGAAACACTTGTGTTTGTAAGATTTTA